TATGTGTGTGTACTGTCAAATCAGATCTGACTGGTACAGCAGGAGATTGTTCCCCCTTCCCCAGCAGAGCATCTGGTGGATTTGAACTGTGCGCCTCTGGAATTGCAGTGTAGCTTCTTGCCACTAGGCCACCAGAGCTCCCCTGTATTCTTAATCAGTTGTTATGAGACAGGTCAGTGGTTCAAAGTAGCATGAAATAAAGGCCTGGCAATCTGCTTCTGCATAAATCACAGCTAAGAAAGTCCAATGGAGTAGGTCTACCCTGTAGCAGTGGGGTCAATAGAGCCAGGCAGGACTCAACAACACAGGTCAGGGGTCAGGGCAAGTCTCACCTAGAAATAACAATTCCCTATCTTATCAGCTCTCAGAGCAGATTATCCGAGAGACTGGGCTCTAAGAGAAGACGTTAGGATTGGTGGAAGTTCTATCAACAATCTGCATTATGCAGATGACACAACCTTGGTCGCTGAAACTGAGGAGGACCTCATGCACTTACTGCAGAGGGTCAAGGACTGCAGCCTTCAGTATGGACTGAGGCTCAATGTCAAGAAGACAAAAATTCTCACCACTGGACCAATTGGTAGCATCAGGATGGATGGTGAAGAGATTGAGATTGTTCACAGCTTCAGTTTGCTCGGTTCCACAGTCAACACTCTTGGCACCAACAGCCAGGAAATCAAAAAACGTATTGCGATGGGAAAGTCTGCTGTTAGGGACCTCTCTAAAGTACTCAAGAGCAACGGTGTCTCTTTGGAGACAAAGGTGCTCCTGATACAGGCCATGGTCTTTGCAATCACTTGTTATGCATCAGGAGAGCTGGACAATGACTAGGGAGGACAGAAGGAGAATTGATGCCTTTGAGCTGTGGTGCTGGAGAAGAGTACTGAATATACCATGGACTGCCAAGAAAACAAACAGATTCATCCTACAGAGGGTTAAACCAGGTTATTCCTTGGAGGCAAAGATTCTGGGGCTCCGTCTGACATACTTTGGACATGTTGCAAGGAGAGACAGGTTTTTGGAGAGGGACATCATGCTGGGTAGAGTAGAGGGACAGCGCAGGAGGGGAAGACCCTCTATGAGGTGGATTGATTCAGTGACTGGGGTAATCAGGATGGGTGTGTCAGAGGCAATGCGATTGGCACAGGATAGAGCAGGGTTTAGGGCTGTTGTACATAGGGTCACTATGAGTCACAAACGACTCGATGGCACATAACAACATCTTATCAGCTAAAGTTATCTAGACACTGGGCTTTGAGATTTACAAGTCTGTCTTTTAAGTACTTTGGAAGTCAGATCACACAAGAGTTACTTTTATGAATTAAGGTGAACTCCATCTGGCAAATCCTTTTGTAAGGGAACTCTGGTGGCCTAGTGGTGCGGAAACTGTGGTGGCTGAGTGGTATGGAGTTGTGCTGCCAACTCAAAGGCTCACGGTTCAAATCTACCAGCTGCTCCACAGGGAAATAGGGACAATAGCCTCCCATGCGATTCACTGCATCTGAAAACCCATAAGAAGAAGGTCAGGTAGGGAGCCTGGAAACCCTTAGAAGGTCAAGTATGGGGCCTGAAAACCCAATAGAATGTCAGGTATGGGGCGGTTCGATTCAACTGTATATAACAACAGTCTAGTGGGGAGATTATTGCTTCCAACTCTTAGTGACCATAGGAGAAGTGATGACTCTTGTTTTGGGAGTGGCCGATGCCATGTACTACATTTACTCAAACACATCTCTGTTCAAATGTAAGATTCTGGGGAGCTGGGGCAGAGGCCCCTTCCCCTCCTCTGGAGAACAGCTGGTCCTCCTCTTATTAAGCTATTTTTGGTACGCTCTTCTTCTTTCTGTTTTAGGATGTTAGTAATTTGAGATCCTCTCCTACTCTATGGGACTTATGTCTAGGCACTAAATTAGAAGGGTCTTCAGGACAGACAGCTATCTGGCAATTCCTATGACACATCTTACTCCAGTAATCGTGCCTGCCCATGTGCTAAACTCGTTACTCCCAGATGAAGACCTGGGCCTCTGAGCTATGACACAGTGAACCCAACCAAATGTAGAGAATCAGTCGGGGCAATGTGAAACAGGTGAGTCATCCCTAACACAGGGAAGAAGAGACCTTGAGACAAGAAGCAGAATACATTTCTTCTTAAGTGAGAACATAACAACTATCTTTTCTCCTTTGAAGTCTTTGCAGAAAATCTTAACATTTTAAGTATCACTTAGTACCTTAAAAAGTCTCTACTAATTGAATGACCAGTGGCAGTCCACCAGCCAGTCCAAGGGAGTGGCGGGAAGTTTTGGATGAAATTACAGCCTGGTAGCCCTAGAGGGCAGTCCTGTAAGGCTGGACTCCACTGGAAGGCAGTGGTCAGTTTAAGTCCAAGCAGTTCTGGTGGTGCAATGGTTAGGCATGGGGGCTGCCAACCACAAAGGTTGGTGGTTTGAACCCATTCAGCTGCTCCTCAGAAGGAAAGCCTGGTAAGGGAGCTCTGGTGGCCTAGTGGCAAGAAGCTGCACTGCAATCCCAGAGGTATGCAGTTTGAATCCATCATATGCCTTGCTGGAGAAGAAGGGCCAATCTCCCCCTGTACCAGTCAGATCCAATTTGACGACTACACACACACACACACTCACTCACTCTTTCTCTCTCTCTCTCAAAAAAAAAAAAAAAATAAGGAAAGCCTGGTGATTCCTTTCCACAGAGATTACACCAAGAAAATCTTACGGGCCGATTCTAATCTGTCAGGAGAAATAAAAAATTACTTTGACACACTCAAAAACCACCACAAGTTGAACAGTAAGAACGAGTCGGTCCTGTTCTTCCTACCTGGTACCATTTCACAAAACAATTCTCTGACAACAGAAGAGAAAGTTCAGTTTGGAAACCTCTCATCTCCACACCCGACCTCTGAGATACAATATCTCCAACACCAGGCAACCTCTAAACTCACTGATGTGCTGGTGCTTTGGGGATAAGGACCCCTGTGCCAACGCTTGATAAAATGGGCTTCTATGCAGAAAGATAACTCTTGTAGTGCTCGACTCATATCTGCTCCTGTCTCCAGGGTGGGATGTTAGAAAGAAGAGGTTGAAGACCTTGTGTTACTGGGATGAACTTTCTAGGGGTTGGCCCTCTAGTTCCCCTGGTTTTTATCTCACCTTTCAAAACCTCAAAAGATCTTTTGCCCTCAGGCTGTTTCAACCCCTTGTTTTATCAACTTTCTATTACATCTAGACAAGCAGGAAGGAATACTGTGGTATGGCTAGATCATGCAATTATGATAAAGCCTTCTCTTATTTGCACTGGTCATGCTTCTATGAATGTTACACACACACACACACACACACACACACACACACACACTCTCTCACACACACACATAACATGTGCACTCATACACAGTGCACACTCTCGCTCAAACACAAACCATCACCCACTCACATGCCCACTCTCCAACTCAAGACTAGAGCAGCCCCGGGCTGTCTGACCAGCCCTTGGAGCACCTCCAAGATGCTGAGCCTTAAACCAGAGGCTCAGGTGACGATGAAGCACTTTGGTCTCCTCAAAACGGCAAGGTAAACACTCTACCCCACAGATTACAAGCAAGGTCCAGAGTCATCAGGGACTTCTGAAAGAAGGGGGGCGGGGGGCAGCAGCAGAGAAGGAGAAAGGGACTTAGGAGGGCAGATCTCTTGTGCGATTTTGGCAAGGCCGGGATGGAAAGGGGCAGCGGCGGCAGACCAGCTCATATCTCCACCAACAAGTTTTCATCACACACTATTTGATCAAGCAGGCAGGCTCTGGAGGCTAACACACTGTGACCACCCACTGGGCACTGAAATCCAAAGTCATTTACAAGGTGGGCTAAGTACTGGGAAACAAGAGCTTCCAGGAGTTACAATCAATCAAAAGTTCCGCACACTGAGAGGCAAATCTAGGCAGCCTCTTGTCAAATGTAAGGCAAATCTCTGGTTTGCAACTGTCGTCTGAAAAACGGTTCATTTTCTTTTTAACCTAAAACGGTATCAAAGTAGGGGCAGTCTAAACAGCCTCTTGACTCAAAGAGGGACAAGGGGGTGGAGGCAAGATCATATTAGGAGCTTTGCTTCTCTGCTAACCTTAGCTGGTTCAGACACCTGCCATCAAGGTGGTCTGCTCGTGCGCCTCAAAAATCCTGCCCACCCACTCCCGTCTTGAAAGCAGCTACATCCTGGCCAAGGTCCTGCAAAGACTGGTGCCCAGAGTTCGGCCCCTGGTACCAGTGCTCCCAGGCCAGAGAGTCCGCTGCGCTGGATTTGCAATGACGCCACAGGGAGAATAAAGGGTGAAACATGAAAAGAAAAACAAGGAGTGGAGGCAGCACCAAGCAAAGATGTGCTTCATCCGCTCAAAGCCGGGCTAGAGAGGAAAGAAAATCCCAAACGGGAGATGGCCACTGGGTAGTTTATCCAGAGGCATCTGGGACATCCCTAATCCCGATTCAGGCTACAAAACCATTTAAAAATTAACAAACAGTAACTGGGAAATCAACTTGGGCACGTTATAATAGGAACTCGTCCCCTAGAGCTCCCACTGCCATCAGCCCTGGCTAAATAAAATCCCAGGGGTACAAGGGTCTGGAAACTACACTTTAGTTACAAGATCTAAGGTTTACATAATCACAAATTACATAATACCCCTCCTGTGCACTAAAAACCCTTCTATAGGTGAAGCTCCAAAGCAAGCCAAGGTTGCAACATTATCAGGATAGAGCCGAAAAAGTCTGCAGAATCATTGGGGGTGGGGTGGGGGAGTGAGAGACAGGGCGCCGGAAAAGTCACCCCTGACAATCTGCAAAGCTAACCACATGTCCCAGGGTGACAAGACACTGTGAGCAGGTGACTGGCTGTCCCCCCGCGCCCCCAGTGCCCCGCGCGCCCTAGAGTCGAGGCCGGGCGAGCAGGGTGCGGGGCGCACTGTGCAGGGTGCGGGGGGGTTGAGCGCGCGCGCCGGCTTACCTGCTCCCCGAAGTCGATGGCGATGTTGGTGATGCCCAGGGGCACGAGGAAGCGGATCAGGGGCCAGTAGTGCGTGAGCGCCGGGAATTTCACCATAGTCCTCGCTGTGGGCTGACCCCACACTCATCTGCCGCCGCGAGGGG